AAACTAATCACACAATGTACATAGTCCATGCCTTTCTTAGTCGCTCAGTGTATTTAATTATACCGAGTAGAATGCACATTTATGAGAATGGCCTGAGTCGCCTTCCTGACTTTTCTTTTAGGACATCTAAAACTATATAAATGAAACGCTCCTTTGAAAACATTTATTTATTATTGTTTGTTTCAGGATGGAAAGCTATAACAAAGCCCATAAATAGTACTTACAAAGTATCCCACAAAACATTGCCTTTCTCTAATCCTCTCTTACCCAGCCTTCCCCTCATAGCACTAAAGTGTATTAAGGGTTGATTTCTCTTGCTCATGGTGCAGAGAGATGGTGCTCACAGTCTGTGATTGGGCCTCATCTAGAAGTTTTTTGCCAGATGTCATCATGACTTGAGCTGACTACAACTGTAGGTTTAAGGTCTGAAAATTTGTTCTTGCTGATTTCAGGAGAATTTTAAAAACTGTTTTAGATAATTTTTTTTATACGACAAAGCCATTTATTATCTGAAACACAGATGTATATTTTCCTTGCTGCAAGTTATACAATTATGACCCCATTGAACTGAGGTCGCTTGTGTTCATTCTAATCTAGGATTTGGAGAGTAAGGAGTTTGGTCACTGGGAACATTTAGAAATTGAAGTGTGTGTCTGTGGGGGGAGCAGTTGGCTGATCTTTACCCCAGAAAGCTGTGTTGGTGGACTGAAGCTATTCCAGTTAGCTGACCTTTAGAGGTATGAGTTTTGAGGTGGAGTTGTTACTGATGATTTGGAAGAATTCAAAACCAACTCTAGAGGCTATTTACTCATAGTTTGGGACTAGTACAAAAGAACAACCAGTCTTCCTTTCTCCAGTTTGGAAGACATAAATCCTTTATTTTCACTTTGCCATTTTCACTGAAAATGTTATGTGGATTTTTCATATTGTCTAACAGTAAGATTTAAAGAAACATTTTGTATGTAAATAACCAAACACAATAAAGGAGAAAGAGAAATGAAGGAAACAATATGAGTGGCTGTGTGCCTATCACTACTTTCAACGTCCCCTCAAGACACACACCATGTGTTTTCCAATCTTAGTGGTGATACAATACACCAGAAGTTATCATCTAATCTGCCTACAATAAATTGTAATTACTGTATGATTATAAAATTTGTCCATCAGAATTGCACCTCACGGGTTAGCTCTCATTACTGACTGTTGGTTGGAACCATTATTTCATTAGAGTTGTGAAATACAGATTTTTCTAATTCTGTAAGTTCCTCTGCATTCATTCATGGTAATTCTTCTCTAAAGAAGGAACTTCTTCCATCAACTATTTGGTTACTTTAAAATAGACACCTTATAGTAATGTCAAATAAAGACTGAACTACTTAAAACTTAACTTTTTATATTAATTTTAACAATAGTGGGTATCCTAGAAACCTCCAAATGTGATCACTGAATCTTCTTCATGGTAGATCATTGTGGCACATGGATTTTTACATATCTGATGTGTTTCAAACCTTTACAGTTATTATTCTTTTTGATGCTTAAATTATACAATCCTTAGCCAATGAGAACTCCTTCAGGTTGGCTCCTATATCCTCCTGAACCCTTCCCTGTATATCCTGTGGCATACAGTGGACTTCAAGTCATGAAACAAGATGCACAGGATCAAGTGGTACATTTCTGCTCCACACCTGATACTAAGCTTTTTTTCTCCTAGGAATAAATAGTTCTTAGAATTTCCAATCTGAATTTAAGGGGTTCTCATTGTTCCTGGGACGTTCTTTCATTTGTGGGATTTTTTTCTTCTTTTCTTTTTTTGCTTAAGTTGAAAATCATGGTTTCTAAGACTACTCACGAAACAACCCATCTGCTTTATTCTACAACTTATATATATATAGTTTCAAAACATTAATACCAACAACAGTGCTAATAATAAGATTACTAGATGCACATTAGGATTTCTTTGTGGTTGCTTTTATACCCCAGATGTATCCAACTAAAAAAATATGATCAAATACTGTTTGAAAATCTCTACCACATCTCTGCCACTAGGGTATTGGGGTTATTTTAATTTGGCTTTTGAGACTGTTTGTTTAATTTTTTTTTAATGAAGCAAAAGTTTAACATGGCTCCAGAATCCAACCATTGGTTTCTAGGTGCTACCCTTTTCTCTTAGCTCTGTTACCTCTTTCTTCCACAGAAAGCAATTTAAAATATGGTTTTATCCTTTGACTTTTGAAAATTTACATTCACTCACTTCTACACAAAAGTAACACACTATACATTCGTCTGTCTGTGTGTCTGTCTTCTTGTTTTTGTTTTGTTCTTAGAGACTGGATCTCATTCACTATGTAACCCAGGTTGCATGTAAACTCAAAGTGATCCTCTGCCTCGGCCTCCCAAGTTATGGTACTACAGCCGTGTCCCATTGTGCCCAATATCATACACATTTTTATGTACTATATTATTTTTTTATACCTAGCCACAGATCCTGGAGATCACTTTATGACAAAATATGGAGAACTTCCCTGCTACTGTTAACAACTCCATAGTGCTCCTTTTAAGGCTGTGCTTTGGTTTATTAAATTTCCCTACTTCGACGGACTTGGATGTTTTTCAGTCATTATATATTACAAATTGTACAATACATATGAGTACAATTTCATACTATTCTAGTGCATCTTTAGAATAGATTTCCAGAAATAGGTTGTCAGGTCAAAGAATAAATACATAATATGTACAGATATTACCAGTTTACACCCATAAGGCTGCACTGTTTTCTTTCCCACACAATTATGTTGTGACTGACTATTTCTCCAATAGTGCCAAAAGAATGTTTCCAGAATTGTGGACTTTTGTCAAGCTGATAGTTGGAAAGGGTTATCTCTGTATAATTTTAATTCATATATCTGTTCTTATAAGCAAACCTGAACGCTGTTTATATTTTTAACTGAAATCATCACTCACTTTTAAGTGAACTGCCTGTTTATATCTTTTGTTCATTTTCTACTGTGTTGGTGGTCTCCTCATTGCTTTTGAGAAACTTTTATGTATTAGGGATATTAGTCCACTTCTGCAAAGTCAATCGCAAATACTTTTCCTGGTAAGTCTTTTTCTGTTTTTACTTTGTAATGTTGATGTTCTTGCTGCTACTTTAGTTTTAGATATTTATTGTGTTTTCTTGCTTCACAAACTTTTGTTCTACTTTTGATGTAGCCAAGTGTATCCTCTTCCTCCTTACTGTTGCTAGATCTTTGAGCATAGTTAAGAACTTTTTATTCACTCAGGGATTATAAAGTAATTCACTCATATGTTTTTCGAATACTCAAGCGAGCTACTTTTTACAGTTAGGTCTATGATCCCTCTAGAATTTATCTACTATATGGTACTCAGAAAGCATCTAAATTTTTCATTTTCTTAGTGGATATCCAGTTACATATATATTAAAATGCCTTTCTCTTTCCATTCATTTAGGACTCTTCCCTTACCATATACTAAAGCTTTATATATACTTACGTTTATTCCTAGATTCCCCATCTGATTCCATTAGTCTGTCAACTCACACATTAACAACAACTGAAAATATTTTTAACATCTTTAGGGCTAGTTCTTTCCTCCCTGTTCTTTTTCTTATTTGTTTATCCTTAAAAATGGGTTTTAAAATCAACTTGTCTTGGTCCAGAAGAAGAAAAACCTGAGGTAGTTTTCTTTGGATCGCGTCAGTTATATAAATTGGCACAGGGACTGCTGACAGCGCCGCATCTCACTATGCAAGAACACAGTGTGCTTCATTTTATTCAACTTTAATTTTGTGGCTCCCAAGAGTGTTTAAGTTTTCCTCACAGATCTTGCATGTTTATTATCAGCTTAAGCCTGGATATCTTATACCTTTGCCAGTTTAAATGTGAGGTTTTCAAAAATTATTTCATCATTATTTTGTGTGTGTGTATGCTTATGTTTCTGTGTATCTCTGTATGATTTTGATTTCTACAGAATTTTATGTCTTGCTTCTGTATTAAAAGCTTTAAAGGAGATTTGTCATTGATTTTGTTTGGGTTCTCCAGATGTATAATATCATATGTAGTAAGGACAATGTTTTCCTCTTCTGCTCTAGTTTTCTTTTTTCTCTCTCTCTTCCTTCCTTCCTTCCTTCCTTCCTTCCTTCCTTCCTTTCTTTCTTTCTTTCTTTTTTTCTTTCTTTCTTCTTTTCTTTCTTTCTCTTTCCTGTCCTGGGCATTGGACCCAGGTACACTGAACCACCAAGCTACATCCTCAGCCCCTCTCCCATTTTTAATTTTTGTTTTTGAGGCAGAATCTCACTAAGTTATCCTGGTGAGACTCAAACTTGTTGTCCTCCTGCCTCAGCCTCCCTCAGTGTTACAATTACACGGATGTACCACTGCATTCCTCCCATTCCTAATTTTTATCCTTCCAATTGTTTTCTCTTATTCAATTACGTTAGCTAACATCTCCTCTACATGGTTAAATAGCAGTGGAGAGAGTGACTCCTCTTGTCTTGTCCCTAGTTTAAAGGAAATGTCCCATCATTACTAAGTAAAGTGCAGACATTGGGCTAAGGTATTATATGTGCTGTCATGCTGAGGAAGTTTTCTCAATTCCTGCATTTTAACATAGATGGGTGATAAATTTTGTCAAATGTGCTTTTGAACATTATTGAAAATAATCATATGGCTTTTCTCCTGAACTCTGTCCATAAGATGAATCATATTAATTCACACTAAGATTTTAGAGTCTCTTGGAAAAAAACACTTCTAAACACACATCCTCTTATCTTCATCTGGCAGAGAAAGAAACTAAGAGGGAGGAGACATTTTTTAGCTGCTCAGTATCAGTAATCACTCTGATTCTTTGCTAAGTTTCTGGCTTATTTCCTAGATGTGTAAGCAAAAAGAGAATTGTCTGGCTAAACGTAACTCTATTTTTATGACTCTTGGTGAAACCCCGCGGCTGCCTCCACTCTCTCTCTGGCACATCCACAATCAGACTCAGCGTTTGAAAGGCAATGGTTTAAGATCTCCGAGTCTTAGGAGACCTGTAACAAGTTATCGTGCTGATCCGCCAAGGCTGCAGTGTGTACGTTCAGCCCCATTTCTCACCGGACAGCACACAGCAGAGTTCGTGGGCAGATCCAAATTAAATGCAGACACGTTTCAGCCTGGGAACACAATCCAATTCCAGAAGTGAGAGATCAGCTTTATTAACCAACCACCCACCATCCCAGAAAGATGGCAGGAATCAAAACCAGACCTTTCTGGCGTTACACATGTGATTCCTGTCAGCACGGGCACCTCTACTCTGAACACTCCAGCTTCTTCTTTTGTCAGTTTCTAAGTTGCGCTCAGGGTGTCTCACATTCCCTGTCAGGCAAGAAACTCAAAGTAAAAGCCAGGGTGTTCTGACCACTGAGAAGAGCTCGTTGCTGTATTGCTAGAGGGAAAACCTCTGTGGGAATTCTGAAAGCAGGAAGGAAGGCTACCCTGGGGAGACTCCATCCTTCCACACTCATCTTCTCAGAGAAGCTACTCAGGCACAACCCACGGGCAGTGGCTCTCTGCCTCCCATCAGCAAGCAGGCACAAGGGGAGATCGAAGGGTCAGGTGTGTGTGGTGTGCTCCCTCACTCATGCCATGAAACTAAGATGGCTCTGTGGAATGGACAGCCAGCTTGGAAAGTACCCTTCCTTTACAAGCACACTGATCCTCAGACACATGTGCCCTAAGGCACGGATGAGAGGAATTATTACAGCCCAAAGCCAACTTGAGGCCAAGCCTCCATATCTTCTGTCAAAGTAAGGCTCCTCTCCTGAATGGGTTGACTTTACATCTGATGCATGGGAGGGTTTCTAAGACTATTTTGGCTAAAGCATTCTTATACTCCATTCTACAGTCCTCTGGAGTGACACCAGGAAAGAGAAAATCATTCAAGTCTTAGAAGTTGCCATGTTTCTAACTAGTTTCACAAGGCAGAAGCTTCCCACGTCACCATCATGCTTTGACCACTTTGACCACTTCCACTGATACAACCACCTGTTCCTCAGTACCACCCCTGCCTCCACCAGGACCTCCACCAGCTTCGTCTGTACCTCCTCTGGCTCCAGCAGCCCCGTCACTATCCCCACCTCCCACACGAGTGCCATCAACATCCCCATCCTTTCCATACCCACCAAACACCAGGCCACGACCACCTGCACCCTGCCCGTACCCACCTCGAAAGGTAGATGGAGAGACCTGAGTTTTAGGATTGAGTGGAACTGTCAGCTGTAGATGGAACTATCATGGGCGGTGCCCCCAAATGACATTATTGTCATTTCCAGAACTGTACAGATATTTTCAGGGTAAACTTTTAAAAACATTCCTGGGCTCTAAGCCCTGAGGTCTGGGTAAACTGTCAGATTCTTTCCTCATACACAGGCTTTGTTTTTACTGTCTGTTTACATTCTGCTTAACGCAAATCCTTCATATTGCCACGTGAGCCCACTTCTTCGTATCATGTCCTCTGTGGTGGAGACAGAGTCCAGCTGGGACTGTGTTTTTCAGAGATCTCTGAACACTCACGAACCAGGCTGCCGGCCTTTTTTTCAAGTTTCCCAGCCCACAAACACTCCCTAACGACAGTGATAAACGTAGCTTCTCCGCATCATTTTAACTGCGTTTTGTTTTTCTGACTATGGACATGAACATTTCCATTTTTTAAATCCTTCACTTGGATGGGGACCAAAGGTGTGGCAGGGGAAATGCAAGTCTTCAAAAGGTAGGCCTCACTCTCCTTCAGAAGTGGTCAGGCAATTCTGTTTCAGGACAGAGCCCTTCATGATGCCGCATGGTGTCAGGAAAGATGAGTCGAGTGGGGGCTGTCCCCTGTAGGGCACGCTCCGCCCTAGCCACTGTCTCCTCTCTTCTTTGTCTCCTGGTCTTGTCCCTCTCTCTTCCAGCCTCCCACAGGCTTTTCCTTAGTTAGCTGTCAAGAAACCTGGGGTCCCTGAGGGCGACCAGGCAGGACTACACCCATTCACAAGGAAAAGGATTATGAGTTAGGCATCAAACGTCAAGAGATCTTCCAAGGAATCCCATCTGAATGATCTTACCTCTGGCACTGTTTCCATCTCTGGCATTAACATAATCCTTGATCTGAAACTTCTCCACAAATGAAAAGCCCATTTTAAACAGAAAACAGATGGGACATTTCTGAAAGTCTCGTTGGCGAGAGCCTCAGGTTCACTCACGGCTTATAAACTTCATCCACAGAGGACGGCCAAGGGGCCGGGGAACCCAGAGTGCTTCTCCATGGGTGCCCCTTCTTCCCAGTCAGGGCAGCTCTAGACCGCTTCACCTGTGCTCTGTGTCCTTGGAGGATCCGGCACAGGGAGGTGTGGCCCCCGCCTCACAAAGGAAGCCAGGCCCGTTTGCAGCTGGGGTGAGGGCCAGTACAAGTGACAGGAGGGTTTGCAGACTGCCCTGAGGGTGTCACTCTGATGGAGCTGAGTTTGAGGCTGGGTCTATTTAAAGGTTCAATGTAAGAGCAGTAGCCCTGTGGGGACTGAGATGAAAGACAAGAGTCCCCAGGGCTCGTCATTGGTCCTCTGCCTCTCACTAGCCGGGTAGGCATCTGCCATTGGCTTGACTGCTGCATGCCTCAGATTCCTTTCTCTACAATGGGGATAATTATGGTACTTACGAATGCTGCACAGATCAGTACTTAGAGAGTTAATGTATATGAAGTACTTAGGACAGGGTAAACTCCAAATGTTTACTTAGACCACAAAGCAAAGGGTAGCTTGGAGGTACTAAGAGCATGTGCTTTCAAAGTGTCACATCGCAACTCCTCTTTTTTTAAAAATTGCACTCACACTGGTACCAAGTCCTCAGAAAGTATAGTAGAATACGCCATAGAAAGTGGGAAATGCCGAGTAAGGAAATTCGGGGGAAGTTGTAGGACTGCTTCAGAGCTGCCTCTGGGCTCATAACAGGGACAGCGCTGTGCTGGAGGGGAGAAGTACCTGGAGGACATGCAGATAGGGGCCTCTTGCCTTCGAAACAGCAGGTGGAAAGCTGGTCCTCTCCCTCCATGCTCTGTTCACCACTGGAGTCCACGCGCACGTCCTGAGCCCACGCGGTGCCCAGAAAACACTGGTGGGATGGCTGTGCTGCTGCCAGCCTCCTTCTCCTCCTGGCCCTGTGCTCTTTGGAGTGGTTCCCACTTCCAAAACGAGTGGTATGAGGGGCTGGGGATTTAGCTCAGCGGCACAGTACCTGACCAGCAAGTGCAAGGTCGTGAGTTCAATCCCCGGTACCGGAAAAACAAAAAAACAAAACAAAACAACAACAACAAAATAACCCAAACGAGTGTTCTGTTATACAGTAGGCATGCTGGAGGGAAGGGGTGGAGGTGTCCAGGGTCCTTTGTCCCAAGCCTCCTCCAGGCTGGCCTCCTGGGCTCTGCAACAGCTGCCTGACCGAGCTCTCTGCTGCCGGTCTTTCTCCCCGCAGCACATTTTCTACGGATCAGGTCAGGTGATCCGTTGAAAACCCACCTCTGATCACATCACTGCTGACAACAGTTAGGGGGACCTCAATGCCATCATCATAAATCTTAATCTTTAAATTACTCTGTAAATCCTTGGTGATCTGGGTGCCAGCTTCACTGGTTAATAAGCTTCATCTCCTTTCCTGACCTCAGGGCATCTGCTGCTCTTCCTTCTGCCCCAAATCCTTCCCTTCCCTCCACCTTAGCTAATGCCTATCAGCTTAAGTATCTCCTTGGTGGGAAACATTTTCAGCCCTCATTTACCTGTCATAGGACCCGGCACATATCCACCACCCCATGGTCATTAACAGCATCCATAATAACTTATCTGGTGCTGCTTCCTCTCCTGGTGTGGATCTCAGAGCAGAGCCAAGCAGAGAGTAGATGCTTGACAAATAGCTGCTGAATGTGTGATGAACTGTTGAATGAAACTGTGTGATGGCAACCCAAAAGCTTTCTCAACATCCAGTAAGTGGAGCTGGGAAAAATCCACTGTCTTTAGATCCAATTCATTCAATTAATGAAGGAATTCAGTCATCGTGAGGTATGAAGAATGTGACATTTCCCTACTCACTCAGTCCTGTCGCCTGGCTTTTCCTCTCAGGGAGCTGGCATTGATGACTCAGCCAGCTAAGCATCCACTCCCGGCATTCATTGTGCTTGGAGTCGGCAGGTGCCTGGAAGAACAAGGAGATGGTGGCTTGATAATTTTAATTATGTTTCTATACAAAATACATCACCATGAAGAGGAACTGGTGTCAAGATCCAGTATGCTGCCAAGGGAAGTTTGACATCAGTTAGAAATTTGGGGTTAGGCCAACCAGGGACTCTGAGTGTCTCTACATCCAGGAAGGAAGCCCGAAGGCTGGTCATTCCGGCCTCCTGGAGCTGGCCGTGAAGGGCCTGCCTGTATGAGTGCGGGAGCACATTGGGTGAGATGGCCTGCGCAGGGCCGGCCCCCGGAGGCTGGGTGGCTGCGATTCTCTCAGCTCCTGTGCCTGTGTCTCTGCAGAGCTGGTGGAAAGTGGGTTCACATCCTTCCCGCCCAGCCCAGCCCTCCCCCCTGCGGCATCTCTTGTGGGTTTTAATCTGGATGGGGGTGAGCACACATTCAAATCGAACTTCGCCTCTGGGCTCTGTTCCCATGGCTTCTCTTGGCCCAGGAGGCTATGCCCCTAGAAGGAGCTAAGGTCCGGGAATGTCCGTGACACGGGGGCTCTGCCTCCCTTCTCCGTCCCTGCCTCCCTTTCTGTACCTGAGGAGGAAGGCGTGGCAGTGGACAGGACACAGCACTGACTCCTCAGCTTGGCACACAGGTGCACAGAGGGCTCAGAGGGGTTTCTCTCCCAGTGTCATTTTTGATTTTTAATTTTTAAAATAGCGCATAGTAGTTACACAGAGTAACAGTTCCTTTCAGCATATTCCCGCATGCATGGAACATGGGTGAATTTTGTCTCCCATCATCCTACTTCCCTTTCTCTTCTCCACTTCCCTTTTCTCCTGCCCCTCCTCCTAGTCACTGCCTCTCCTCTCCTAGTCTCCTGTCTGATCTGAGACCTGGTCACTGAAGTCAGCTGAAAAACCGAGGAACCGTGACCTCGCCGTGCCCGATGGTGAGGCAAGCCCCCAGCGGAGCGGCGCAGGGCAGTGTTTCCTGCTCTGTCCCCTTTCTCTTTATCTGCCACCCTGCTGAACTTCTGGCTCACAGCACTTGGAGGCACACAGGCTCCTGTCCCTGCCAGGCTCAGTGAGAATGCACCCACTGCTTCCAGGAGCTCAGCCAAAAACACCGTCGCCAGAGAACGGGCCCTACTTGTGCGGAGGAAATGTTCACTCCCACCGCATTTGGACACCAAGAAAACTCCAGTGCGCACACAGGTGCATTTTTTTCCAGGCTCTACTTTTGTGAGACACAAATTAAGTAATTAAAGATTAGTGAGCATCATGCCATGAGGGGTGAATGCTACAGAGCTCTGCAACCAAGGTAAACAGTGGGAATGTCCCAGTTCCATGAACCTGGTGTGCCATTTCTACCCACGCCCTCGGAAATTCAAGGCCCTTCTGAAGGAAGTGTGAAGAAAGTAGATGTTGGTAGAAATCATAAGGTATATCTATCATTCTCTGAAATCCATCATTCAGTGCTGTATGGTACGGGCAGGAACTTTCAGTTAAAGAAAAAACCAGAATAACCACAACACTCCATTGCGAGGACACCTGAGAAGAGCAGGGCTCAGCCCGCGTGTAAAGAACACACACTGTGCACAGAGCAAAGACTGAGTGAAATTACTGATTTGTTTGCGACAGAAGAGTTACATCTCCAAATACGAAGTATATCAAATCAATTTGTAACTCCCGCCATCTAATACCTTTCCATTCTTACAGAGGTAGAAAAGCTTAGTTCTTACATTTCCTCAATAAAATTATCCTTGATGTTCTGGAATGAGGTTTCTACAAATCTAATATATGGCTCCTGAAATAGCCGATTAAAAATGATGACTTGTTCTAATCTACTGCGTTTTCTGGCAGGGCATGTGATTATGATCAGTCGGACAAAGGTCAATAAGAATGAATGGCATCTGTGCCCAAGGCAGCCCTGAGAAAGTTTTCAAAACCAGATAAGAATTTAATATAGGAAATTTTTGTCCACCTAATCAAATTTAGATGGCCCAACACTGCCTGGAATTTGTGCTGCAGATCGTAATCTGCAGGTGGTGTATACATGAGTCATGCATCTTGGAAAGGAGCGCCTAAACGGGGAAAGTTTTTGTTTTTCTTTGAAGGGTCAAAGGTTCTTATCAGAGACCTGCTTCTAAATAAAAATAATGATACTTGTTCTTACAATCTGTGCATCAGGAATTCAGCGGAGATGACCTAAGCAACTTTCTGCTGTGCGTGGCTCTGACCAAGGACCTTAGGCAGTCATCAGCTGACATCTGGTCTGGCTGGAGGGTCCAAGGTGCCACAGACCTGGTGGGCTGGCAAAGGGCTCAGAAGCCAGGCTCCTTCTCTGTTTGTTGCCCTGGCTTCTCTACACGGCCTCTGTATCAATATTTGGACTTCCGATCTGGCAGCTCAGTGCTGGGAGAAAGAAAGTGGAAGCTGCCAGGTTTTTAAAATCTGGGCCTCAACACTGGCACCCCGTCACTTCAGTCTGTGCAGGAAGTTTTATTCTGTTGGTCAGACAAGTCACAGCGCCTGCTCAGACGCTATGGGAGGAAACATAGGCTCCTCCTCTCACTCCACGTGGCAAGGGATTTTCAGCCAGACTTCCCCTGTGAGGGGGTGGGCTGGGGAGAGGAGAAGGTGGCGAGAATTAGAATTTGGGGGTGTCTTCAGGCAGCCTGCGAACAGAATCCAGAGGGCCTTATAGTCGTCAAGTTGCCATGTAAATTCTTTCTTATGCTACTTCTGCTCGCAACATGATTACACAAAGCGCTCTTTCATTTGACGGACATTAGAGACTGAAGTGCAAAATGCAGTTTATTCAAAGGAACCCCATCTCCGATCCCTTTATACTGTCTCTCTCTTTTCTTTTTGGTGGTGGTACTGGGGATTGAACTCAGAGCCTTGTACATGGTAGGCAAGCACTCTATCACTGAGTTACATCCCCAGCCCTTTCGTGTAAAAGAACTGACAGACTTTCTCTTGTCTTTGATTATTGCTGTCTGGAGAATGCTCCTAAGGTTTACTGAGAAGGAAAGTTCCATTGCTCTGTGTAGGCAGGAATGGCACAGCCTAAAGCTGCCCTCTGCTCCCCTGCTGTGCCCTTTGCCATAAGCTCAGGCCAACTT